ACTGGCACCAGGAGCGGCTTCTGGTGCAGCCTCTTCGGTGGACTTCTTGGGCTCCGTTTCGGTGGAGACCTTGGCAGGCGCAGAAGCTCGAGGTTTGCGCAACTTGCGGAAGGACTGTCTCAGCGTATCCTTCAAGTGGCGTCCACTGGCAACAATCTTTTGTGCTGCACCAGCTACAACCGAAAAAAAATGAAGATGTGTGCGGCTGAGAGGAAGAAGCTCAAGGACTGTCTTCGACGAACCAACAGAAAAAACCATTAGTAGATGGAAGGGGAAGCCACGAGCTCGGTTTTGCTTGAAGGCAAAAAATGGATAACGTCTACCGAGAATAAAGGAGTTGATGCATTAACTGCTGCTGCAGGTCATTAGAGGATGAAATCCTTCTTGAAACAGCAGTAGTAAAAGGCTCTGAATCGACTGTGTGCGATAAGACATTTAAGTAAGGACCTGACAGTTGGAAGACGCATATTATCATGTAGCAACGGCTAAGCTCAGCGTGACATTAAAGACACTATTTTGCAGAATCGGTGACAATTTACATGGACTACAGGCAGGACGGAGTCTGGTTGCTTGGCAAAAAGGTTTTTCGACCCAACAGAAGAAAAAAAGACCCCTTACTGCGTCCTTTACTGATGCTTCTAAATTCAGGCTAAAAAAGATAAGACGAATATGCATATGCAGATGAGGTAACATACAAAAGAAGCTATTGGGCACCTTGCCTACCTGCTTGATCGTCGGTAAAGGTCAGGCCATGTGTGAATTTATTGTATGCCACGCTGTGCGTCTGTAGATCGATCAGGGCGAATCCGTAGGCTGAACCAACAGCCAGAGCGCGCCAGTTAGGTTCCCAGGCCAGAGCCGTGATCGCAGATGGTGGCTCTAGCTGCACAAGTTCTTGGGGCGTGAAGAGGGGGCAGGCGACGGGACACGGAGCAAATACGCCCTCACAGGCCTAAGTGGAGCGAGAGAAGAGGAATGCGAGAGGTGAGGGTGCGTCAGATGTCGGACGCTAACAGTGACACATAATCAAAAAGGTGGCGAGTTCGAAGTTCGGGTGGGAGACCACTTGGGCCTGGGGATGATTGACTGACAACGACTAATAAGCCAGAAATGGTCATTCCAGTCTCCCTTGCCTTTGTTGGCAATACTATCTGCCTACTGCGAGCTGTTACGGCTATCAGGGCTTCTAGTGAGACCAAAGGCAGAGGACGACAGATAAGTTCCGTTAGCGGGACGTCAACGACGGGTTTCGTTTGGAGGGGGTATTTATGTTAGCAGTAATCTAGGAGAAGCCGGTGATATTAAGAATTAACAATCTGACTTGGACAAGTATCCAAAGGAGCACTTTTAGTAAGTAATGACGAGGAATCACGGAAGCTAATAGAAAAGTCTTTCAGTAAACGCATAAGCAGCGAAGACCCCGGAGATTTATGGTATTCCAACTCTCCGGTGCGGTGTCTAACTTAACACTTTGACTGCGACTCTCAAAATAGCCTGTATGCCCCTGGGGCGGCGTTTTCAAACCTGCATTACTTTAGGCCTAGGCGTGTACCATATATGGCGCACGTCGCAGTCAAAGTGTTAAACCCGGCTGGATTTCGGACGGAAGCACACCCGGGAACTTGGATAGAACGAGTATGGAAAGACTTGCTGCAGAGCATGTTTCTTGTGATTGCAGCGAGAGGATAATCAATTTGCCGAGATTAACTGCGGTTGGATATCCGATTCAGCAATGTAGAAGAAACAGAGGTGCAGTCATAAGAGTGGTTCTGGGACCGATGTATATCAAGGATATTCATTCGTAAAGATAGGCAGGTGCTCGGAGGGACCGAATATTGAAAAGGCAACATGCTGTGCAGTTGGATTTAAGTTTATAATCGAAAAGGGGCTACTTCCGTAACGGAAATGACCCAGAACAAAACTACACACTGAC